ATCTGGTCATTCTCTAGTGCTATTGATTACTATGTAGCAGTCCAATATGATGAATCTCTCCAAAGTCATGTCCTTCAAGATGACAAAGAGGAAACCTTACTGATACTAGTGCCCCATAAGCAAGCACTTGAGAAGGAGCTTCAAGGTTGGACGTATTGGGCCAATGAGAAGGTTATGCTAGTTGCTCGGAGGATAAAAAAGAATGAAAAAAATAAAACGTAATCCTTATCTTTTCCAAATTTTTCTTCATATATTGCTATATACATATGTATTTACTCTAATGGTATCTCTTTCATTGTTGTTTTCGTTTCAGTTGAAGAGGATATTTTATAAATATTAGGTTTTACGATTTTAGTTGAAGAAGATATTTTATGATTATTAAAATTTTAGTTAAACACAAATTCTAAAATAATATAAAAAGGATCAAAAGAATTTAATGAAAATAAATATGAGTGGATGAATTAATAACTATATATTTTTATTTAATTTTATACATGTCTATCTAGGTAAATTTACATGAGATAAAAAATTTAATATAATTAACTTTCTTTAAAGTTTATTTATGTATATATAAAAACTGCTGTTTCGCGCGGGTTAGTCGCTAACAATTAAAAATGGATCAGACAATTGTGTAAGCGACAAACCTCTTGAAATAAAGTCCTAAAAAGGGGTGTTCTTTATTGGCGATGACTTTACAATTGGAAATTAAAAACAGAATGCCTCCAAGGGGCGCAAACACACGAGTTACTGAAAGAAGTGTTTAAATCTAAACTAAAAAATTTAAAATTACATGTTCTCTGTTCGAGAGTTTTTGATTCGAGGTCCTTTGCTCTATGTCATTTCTTCCTTTTATACTCCCTGGATGATCTCTTTGTGATCAACCGCTTAAAAACTGCTTGATCGTTCTATAACTGCCCACTTTCCTCATAATGGCCAACTTGTCATGAAACTGCCTTTTCTAACTGCTGCCATTACTCTTCGTCGTTCAATTGTCTTCAATTGAATTCCTTGAATCGTGGAACGTGATAGGGCTGCTTAATAACTGCTTTGATAACTGCGCTTCTTGATAACCATAACATTTCATGTTTGCTAAGACCTTGGGCGACTAGAAGGTTTGGGCGAGAATAGAGTAGCAGCTTTGGGCGACTGCATGGCACTCCATTCGCTCAGATCCTGGGCGACTTGCAAGTTTGGGCGATGGTGTTACCGCGTTCATGGGCCTCCCTATTTGGGCCTTCATCCTGAATTGTCTGATTGGGCTTCGTTCTTTGGGCTATCTGATTTGGGGATCCTCCAATTGGACTTCATTCCTTGGGCCGTTCGATTTGGGCTGAATTTTTATGTGTCAACAACTGCAGATGTAAATAGCGCCATCCAAATTTTAATATTTGATCATTACTCCTAAATTATTTCTCCCCTTCTATATTGCTTGAATGTAACTTCCATTCTATTTTTTGAATGTAGATTCTTTTTAATTATTGGAAAAAAATTAACTTCAAGGAGACCGAAAAATTCGTTCGAGTCAATTAACGATGAACTTCTCGACTCGAGCTTACTTCACAAGAGAAAAATGAATCACTCCATAGTTACACATTTGGTCGAATTCTGCAGTAACACAATAGAAACAACAGTCACACATAAAGCTTCAGTTGCTGATGATTGAGTGCAAAACATCAGGTCCAAGTCCAATGGCCCAAAGATCATATTCGAATTCGACTGCAAATAATCCTCATCCAATCGAGCCAATGAGCAACAAAGTTGCACTCATACAACTATGTGTTGGAGTTCAAATTCAAGAAAAAGCAATGAAACTAAGGATAGAATATTGGATTTTTTTATTTTTTTTTATTATATATTTTTTTTATCCCTTGATTTACATTCATTGGTGAAGGCATGGTTTCCCATAAGCTATAAAGGAAGGCCTAGTTTAAAGGCTTTGGCATATGGAGTTGCAGGGTTGGGAATGAGAAGAAACAGCAAGAATATTTGGAATTCTGACTGGGAATTTCACGAGGATATGACTGAGTGTGCTTGTGTTGGTGCTTATGCATTTTACAGAATTGCTCACAAGTTGTTGAAAGAGATGTATATAGGCTTTAAATGGATGCTCATAAGTCTCAGTTACTCAATATATAATGATGTTGTCGAGATTATCGGTTTTCAAATTTTAGTACTTCAAAGGATATTGTTTGGTGCCAACTTATGTTCCAATATGTTCTCGCTAGATTCTATTTTACTTGCTCGTAACAATTAATTTTAGTGCATGAATGACCTTAATTGCGGTTTGGGTGAATTTAGGATTTAGGAGATTGATTTAAACTACTAGAAAATCGGTTTCAAAGTTCGTTCCACAGAGTGCTTTATAACCTTTCCCATTCCCAATTAATAATTCTTAGTTCCTAAAGCATTCTGACAGCAAAATTTCTGTTCCAAACTGGTTAATTTTAAGGACAAGTTATGTTCAACCTTAATATCTGCAGCAATTGGTATCATAGACGATACTCATTCCATAATCAACCACCTAAAGATGGCTAATTCATGATGTTCGTGAAATCACCGAACAAGGAATGATGGAATATAGGTCATTTAATTAATGCATTAATATAGAGGTGGGGGGGCAAACACAAAATCAAAAATCCTTCACATTAATCACATACTTAAATTCATCAACAAGAAAATAAAACAAGCCCACATGAGAAAGCTTCTTAAAAAAAAAAAAAAAAAAAAAGGCACACAATGCACACCCAACGAGAAACGAACTAGAGAGGAAAAGGAAGAGAAAAGAGGAAGCAAAAAAAAGAAAGGGAAGAGGAAGAAAAAAAATAAAAAATCGCTAGCATGTTAGAAATAAGTTCTTCTACTATTAGGTTGGAATTCTTCAAAGTTAAGGTAAGTAAAAAGTTACTTATTGAAAGGTTATGCTTGATTTTATTGTTGTTAGATTGTTAGATTAAATTAAATTTTATTGAAGGGGTTAAATATAATAAACTATGGAATTGAGTAAAATGAAAGAAAAACTAATTTTATTGATTAAAGACTTTAGAAATCGCTTAAACGTGAAACGATTAAGCTTGGATATCACATATTTAATTATTGAAATTACTTAAAATAATTAATTGTTGATTTAAAAATTATATCATATTTCAGACGGCGATACAGACATCGAAACAACTTATCAACTGACTCATATATTTTTCCGTAATTTTTCTTACAGGTAGCAATTGATTCTTTTCAGTTGGAAGAGCCTAATGATTTCGAATTGAGAGCCACACGATATGTTGAATTTTATCACTCATTTTGATGAAGCGTGAAGTAAATAATTTGGCCCACCGCATTATGTTTTATATAAACATTTGATTTTGTTGCATTTTTTGAAGTAACTCATATTCAAACTTGGTGATAGATTTGACATCTAATTAGCATTTATCATCAGCGCACATCACATTTCGAGTCTACCAAGATGATTCGGGACGGGTCGTATCAGAAGTCGGTTTGGAAGGGACAATAGTTCCCAGAGTCTTCAAAATCAATATTTCTGGATTCACAAGTCAAACAGTGCAAATTTATTGTTGCTTCTTCTCAACATTTGTTCTTTCTAGGAAGACAAATAAATTTAACGGTGTAGGAAAATGTATAACCTAAATGCCTCTTCATATTCCTTCCAAAAGCAAACTCTTGGGCTACCATGAATGCTGAAACAACTCCTATATAAATGCGCATAGATTGACAATGAATTTACCCCAAAAAAATGGCTTCCAAGTATACGGTTTCTTTCTCTGGTGCAGTAATTGAAGCAACAGTAGCCGACAAGGCTGCCATTGTCGATGATTGGGTACTAGAAATCCGATCAATGTACTATGGACAACAAATAATTGTCGGACTCTACTGTGAATGGAGGCCTAACTTGATCCCATCAATGAGCAACAAAACTGCCACACTTCAGCTGTGTGTTGACACAAAATGCCTAATCCTTCAACTCTTATACTTGGATTATATTCCTCAGTCCATAAAGAACTTTCTGAGTGATCCCAACAATACATTTGTGGGAGTCGAGGTGGGAGATGATGTTTTGAAGCTTAATAGTGAGTATGGATTGACCTGCGCTACAATTGCTGACATTCAAGCGTTGGCTATGGAGCGTTGGCCGATCCTATTCTATAGGAAGCCTGGCCTGAAAAAGCTTGCTGAGTTTGTTGTAGAACTTTCTATGGCGAAGCCTATTCACGTTTGTAGAAGTAATTGGGAAGCTAGGGTTCTTAGCATTCAGCAGATTGAGTATTGTTGTATTGATGCATATGCTTCTTATAGAATTGGCCACAAACTTCTCAAGGAAACCTAGTCATGGACAATGTAGCAACCAATTTTATTCTGCTTTTGTTATGGACTGATGGGAATTTGGAAGAAATACCTTTTTCTCTTTGTTTTATGTTAACTTGACATTGAAATCTAGTTGAATCTTTCTTTCACAAATTATCTGCAAAACAAGGTTATTAATAAGCTTAGTCACAATTGTACTAAATGACTCATTTAATGGAACTTTCTACTATCCTCAAACTACTCATTTCACTGAACTACTTACAATTGTGTTAATGGAGAAAAACTGCAATTTAGAGCAAATCTAAAAGGTAATATTGGATAATCTTTTTCTCTTTGTTTTATGTTAACTTGACATTGAAATCTAGTTGAATCTTTCTTTCACAAATTATCTGCAAAACAAGGTTATTAATAAGCTTAGTCACAATTGTACTAAATGACTCATTTAATGGAACTTTCTACTATCCTCAAACTACTCATTTCACTGAACTACTTACAATTGTGTTAATGGAGAAAAACTGCAATTTAGAGCAAATCTAAAAGGTAGTATTGGATAAAGACAGGTGACATTAGTGGGGTTGAATTAGATTTTACCCAAATAAACTAGAAAAGAAAGAGTCAAAACGCGTAAATTCCCACGTCTCTAAAGCAAGAAAAAGTGTTGGACAGGTGGAAAAAGCAGCAGGCTCTATTATGTCGCCTTGTGGAATATGGTGGACACGTTGTACATAGCGGCGCTGTCCGAGCAACGTCGGACTATCCAACAAACGTTTTTATGTCTATTTGTTTTCTTCGATTAATCAGGAAGCTCAAAATTCGGTGTAATTTGGGAATAAAACCTTTCTAGAAACTCTTGAAGCCTATCTATACCCTTCTAGCCGATGATCTCTCTACCCTCAGATTCTGGGTTTTCTTCTTATTTCTACTATAATATTGGTATAAATCGCTGTTTACCTTTTTTATTTTTGCATTTTTCATTTCTCTAGAACGAAGATGGAAAAGAATGCAGATTTTTCTGATCTCTCAATGCTCTTTCAATGACAGGATTATCGTATTATTTGTTTGAATTTGTGAGGGTTTACTAGGTCAAATTTGAGATTTGTGGGTCTATTGTTCTGGTCAATGAAAAGGATTTCTTGAATCTAAGAAACGAAAGTTGAATCCTTTAGTTTGATTTTAGCTTTGCAATGTTTTATAAATTGATTTGAGCTGATATTGATCATCTGCAATATCAATATATTGTAGAAATTAAGGAATCGAAGATCGGGGAGATTGGATAATTTAGCAAGAGATTTATATTGTATAGGATATGGGTTATAATAACTGGAAAGAAAAGGGAATAATTGGTGATATTGAGAGCGGTGGGACAAGTAGTGAAGATGATACCGGAAGTGATTCTGTATTGGGCAAGAAACAGGCGAAAGAATTGTTGAAGAAGATAGGTACTAGTAGTGTATTGGGTTTTAATGGATCGTCTGAGGTTGAGCCTAGCCCTAAATCAAAGGGTATTTTGGGAGAAAGGAGTGAGGAGTCGCGTGAAAGTGTAAGGTTGATGATAGAAGAAAAGAATCCCGTTGGACTGCAAAATCAAAATCTTATGCCAGTTGTGGAGAAGAAACGTGAAAAAGAGCGATCAAAGATTGGAAAATATAAAAAGGCTCCCAAGCCGCCACGGCCTCCTAAAGGTCCAACCTTGGATGCTGTTGATATGAAGCTGGTGAAAGAGATTTCTGTGCTTGCCACAAAGAAGCGTGAAAGAATTGAACGGATGAAAGCATTGAAGAAGATGAAAGCAGCCAAATCATCGTCATCATCACCATCATCTTGCAGCACCTTTCCGGCCATGATCATCACAATTCTCTTTTGTCTTGTGATAATCTTCCAAGGTGTCATCATCAATGCTCTCAAAATTTCTAGATTGTTATTTAAACCTTTATACAGTTTTTTCTGCTCTAGGAACTTGTTTGGTTCATAACATTGGATAGGACTAGATAGTAGCATATATATAATATTTTCAGTTCCATACTTCTATGAAATACCATTCAAATAATGTGAAATCCGCCTTGCCAAATGGGTTCTTGAAACATCAAAGGCTCTCATCATAAGATGATTGATAAGTGTGATCAAGTCATTTTTAGAAAAATACTGGTTTCGAAGTACTTGCCCATAATAATGCATAAATGTGGGCAAGTACTTCGAAACCAGTATTTTTCTAAAAATGACTTGATCACACTTATCAATCATCTTATGATGAGAGCCACTTTGTTGGAAGTGGCTATCCCCTTTCTGAGCAGTTGAAAATTTCTAAGATAGTAAATTTTTTCCCTTTGTAGACTTGATATGTGCTCTGGATACGTAAGGAGGTTGTGTCAAATGAAACTTTGTTCGACTAAAAAGGTGAAACAAGAAAAAAATAACTCGAAGCAAGTCGAGTCCCCTCTTTTTGTTCGAGAATGTTTAGTTTCTTTCATAATTAGCACATTTCACGATTTTTGGGTCTTTCGTTTTGCCTCAGTGATGTTGTAAGATGTGACCATTCTGCATTTCCATTATATTATTTTGCAGCTTGATCTTTCATTATGACTTCTTTTCCATCTGACATACAGGAGGACAGAAAAGGAATGAAAAACTTCCTTACATAAGTTTAGGATAACTAGAAAAGAAATCAAGCCTTTCTGTGTTCTTCTTTGTTTCTGATCTTTTGTTTCTGTTTACTATTGCTGTCGGCTTGAGAAAGTAAGGTTTAAACCTTAAGTATTTTTGCAGGACTTGGTTCAAGAAATAGTTCGCCTGTAATATTCCCTGGGGCTCCCGAGCCAGCAATGATGAACAAAGGCTTGATTTCTGTCGAATTTTACAGGAATGGTTTGTCAAATGATGACAGAGTGCCAAATTCGTATTCTCCCGTGTATGATCTATTTTCAGCTACTACAATTATATAAGTTATTCCCCCATTTTTCTTTCGAATAGTTTGGCTAATTTTGATTTCATGGATGCAGTTCTGCAGGACAGCTCTCTGGTTTAGAATTCAGATCCCAGGAATAGAGTTAGCTTCACATTTTGTCATCATAGCAGTGAGATGTATATATAAAGATTAAGGAACATGGGATTGAAGTATTTAGAGTTCATTTGTACAATCATTAATTTATTAATTTTATTTGCAGTCCTTCCCTTTACAAAATTCATTCAGACGTTACCCACGTTCAAGAATTATTTATACATATATAGTACAAATAAAAAGTTCTTTTGAGTGAATAATAAATAGTTTATATTAGTCAAAACACATGCCACGAAGGTTAATTCCCTCTTTAAAGTGTGTTCCAGTTTGGTAACTCTCAATCGTTACAAATCCAACATCAAACTTAAATTTTTATTCTCCATCACTACCTATATCTATGGGTAAACAAGAAAAGGGTCAAACTCACTCAATTATGTGCACGTTAACGTTTCAATTTTGAATCGAATCGAAATGTTTAGAAAATTGTTCATTTTAGGCTTGATAGTTACAAAAGTGCTTGAAACCAAATTGAAATCATTTACACAAAATTTAAAAATAATTAAAAAAAACTGTAAACACCAACCCTTTGAAGCATAATATGTGATTGGCTTGACTTGGAACGAAAAGTGCCATGATCCGGCTTGCCCCTAGAGCCAACATGGCTGTAAGAACCCATGACCTGCTTGGGCTAACTCAAAATTGATTGTGCCAGAATGTCATAATTTGATTTACACGAGTCAATATCTATTCGTTGCTTGTCTACTAATTGCCTGTTTGGGTTTTATTATTTTAATTTAAATNTGTACAGGCAACTCTTGTTCCCTGGCCTGTTGGGGCACATCCAGCGATTTACGTCCCTCACAAAGCTCTAGAGGCGGGACGACAAGGGCTCTCAAAGTTGGGGTTCAACCTTTAAATATGTGTTCAATTATATGATTATTATGAAAATCTCTTTTATTATAATACACGTGCAATCTCAAAAATTATTGAGTTCTTCTACATGTACACCGGGGTGTCAAACTCGGTGTACAACTAGAAAAATCTAACATTATTTATGGCACATTTGTGACTTGGTATGTAAGACATGTGATATTGAGATTGTTTAGTATGTGAGATATATAATATTAAGATCGCCAAAAACGTACTCATGATTATATTTTTTTTTTAGTTCACAGATGGGTCTTGGCCGTATTTTATCCTATACGCAGGGGTCTTGATCGGATATTGCTCTCGATCGTGTACATATAGTTCACAGAAAGGCCTTGACCGTGTTCTAGAATTGATTATCAGAAGTCTTTGAGACCGACTTTCGTTCACGGAGGGGGCCAAAGGCTCGAGGCGAAAGTGCTTAGTCCGAGGGGCGAATTACAAATTTTAGTCAGAGGGTATATTTTTTGTGGATCACTTGTGATGTGATGAGATGATGATATAGATATCAGCTGATGACTATATTGTGATTATGAGATGATATTTACAGTGTTATAAGAATGTCTTACTTTTTGGCTATAATTGTATAAGTCTATCGTGTGCATATTAAACGATATGAACTAGATGTTTAGTAAAAATGTTTAACGGAGAAAGTATAATTATTTATGAACTCTTCCACTCACTGAACTATCAACTCATATATTTTTCCGTAATTTTTCTTACAGGTAGCAATTGATTCTTTTCAGTTGGAAGAGCCTAATGATTTCGAATTGAGAGCCACACGATATGTTGAATTTTATCACTCATTTTGATGAAGCGTGAAGTAAATAATTTGGCCCACCGCATTATGTTTTATATAAACATTTGATTTTGTTGCATTTTTTGAAGTAACTCATATTCAAACTTGGTGATAGATTTGACATCTAATTAGCATTTATCATCAGCGCACATCACATTTCGAGTCTACCAAGATGATTCGGGACGGGTCGTATCAGAAGTCGGTTTGGAAGGGACAATAGTTCCCAGAGTCTTCAAAATCAATATTTCTGGATTCACAAGTCAAACAGTGCAAATTTATTGTTGCTTCTTCTCAACATTTGTTCTTTCTAGGAAGACAAATAAATTTAACGGTGTAGGAAAATGTATAACCTAAATGCCTCTTCATATTCCTTCCAAAAGCAAACTCTTGGGCTACCATGAATGCTGAAACAACTCCTATATAAATGCGCATAGATTGACAATGAATTTACCCCAAAAAAATGGCTTCCAAGTATACGGTTTCTTTCTCTGGTGCAGTAATTGAAGCAACAGTAGCCGACAAGGCTGCCATTGTCGATGATTGGGTACTAGAAATCCGATCAATGTACTATGGACAACAAATAATTGTCGGACTCGACTGTGAATGGAGGCCTAACTTGATCCCATCAATGAGCAACAAAACTGCCACACTTCAGCTGTGTGTTGACACAAAATGCCTAATCCTTCAACTCTTATACTTGGATTATATTCCTCAGTCCATAAAGAACTTTCTGAGTGATCCCAACAATACATTTGTGGGAGTCGAGGTGGGAGATGATGTTTTGAAGCTTAATAGTGAGTATGGATTGACCTGCGCTACAATTGCTGACATTCAAGCGTTGGCTATGGAGCGTTGGCCGATCCTATTCTATAGGAAGCCTGGCCTGAAAAAGCTTGCTGAGTTTGTTGTAGAACTTTCTATGGCGAAGCCTATTCACGTTTGTAGAAGTAATTGGGAAGCTAGGGTTCTTAGCATTCAGCAGATTGAGTATTGTTGTATTGATGCATATGCTTCTTATAGAATTGGCCACAAACTTCTCAAGGAAACCTAGTCATGGACAATGTAGCAACCAATTTTATTCTGCTTTTGTTATGGACTGATGGGAATTTGGAAGAAATACCTTTTTCTCTTTGTTTTATGTTAACTTGACATTGAAATCTAGTTGAATCTTTCTTTCACAAATTATCTGCAAAACAAGGTTATTAATAAGCTTAGTCACAATTGTACTAAATGACTCATTTAATGGAACTTTCTACTATCCTCAAACTACTCATTTCACTGAACTACTTACAATTGTGTTAATGGAGAAAAACTGCAATTTAGAGCAAATCTAAAAGGTAGTATTGGATAAAGACAGGTGACATTAGTGGGGTTGAATTAGATTTTACCCAAATAAACTAGAAAAGAAAGAGTCAAAACGCGTAAATTCCCACGTCTCTAAAGCAAGAAAAAGTGTTGGACAGGTGGAAAAAGCAGCAGGCTCTATTATGTCGCCTTGTGGAATATGGTGGACACGTTGTACATAGCGGCGCTGTCCGAGCAACGTCGGACTATCCAACAAACGTTTTTATGTCTATTTGTTTTCTTCGATTAATCAGGAAGCTCAAAATTCGGTGTAATTTGGGAATAAAACCTTTCTAGAAACTCTTGAAGCCTATCTATACCCTTCTAGCCGATGATCTCTCTACCCTCAGATTCTGGGTTTTCTTCTTATTTCTACTATAATATTGGTATAAATCGCTGTTTACCTTTTTTATTTTTGCATTTTTCATTTCTCTAGAACGAAGATGGAAAAGAATGCAGATTTTTCTGATCTCTCAATGCTCTTTCAATGACAGGATTATCGTATTATTTGTTTGAATTTGTGAGGGTTTACTAGGTCAAATTTGAGATTTGTGGGTCTATTGTTCTGGTCAATGAAAAGGATTTCTTGAATCTAAGAAAC